AGCTTACCGCACCCTATCTAGATACCGTACCGCTTCTGGAATTGGTGATATAACCATGCCCATATTCGCATTGTTACACAACTCAAACCAACTGTTCAACGACCGATCAACGCACGTTTGTGCGTACAACACTGTTACATAACGTTAGCGTCATGTTGTAACATTTCGCTCAATAAACGAGTAACATCGTGATCACCTTTCCATGGTATACGCTTCAAGTTACATCGATTCCCATGATAAAAGTCGTCCGCTTTATTTTTCTTTTGCTTCCTTCGGTCGGCGTGCACAGCGGCCAGCGTGGTACTAAATGTTGTGAGCCGTACACAGTAGTTATTTGTTCGGTACGTCATGAGCCTCATACCGCTAATCGCGGGATGTCGCAAGCCGTTCGCAAAGGCGCACGGTATAGTGCAACGCTGCCATGCGATCGAAAGTAATGGGAGTGAATGAGCGGCTGAGTCAAACAACTTTGTTGGGGCCACAATAGACGCGAGTTATCTCAGCGTCACATATTTTACAAAAAATATATATATCGGTGAACGCACACGCATCTTGTTCAAGAAAATGATAACAATGTTGCATCCAGGTGACAGATTATCACTAAACAGTATTACGAACAAACAGTGCAGTAAAAGGGCATTACACGGGCTGCTCTTTGTGAGCACGCGGTGAGAATGTTTGAATTGATTGATATGTGGGGTTTAACGTCCCAAAACCACCATATGATTATGAGAGACGCCGTAGTGGGGTGAGAATGTTTGGTTCGCCCCGCAGCGGTGGTCTATCGTGGCTATGGTATTCGGCTGCTGATCCGCAGGTCGCGGGATCGAATCCCGGCTGCAGCGTCTGCATTTCAGATGAAGGCGAAAACGTTATAGACCCGTGTGCTCCGATTTGGGTGCACGTTAAAGAACCCCCAGGTGGTCAAAACTTCCGGAGCCCTCCAATACGGCGTCCCTCATAATCATTTCGTGGTTTTTGGGACGTTAAACCCCACATATCTATCAATCATTGTTTGTTTCGCGTTGTACCACTGACATACATGTACTATCAGCGTCAAATGAAACACGAACAGCGACAAGCTTTCGCGATGACATAGTGCGTGCCGTCCAGTTATGCGGTTGAACCATGGCGCGCACCACACCATCACGAAGGCTTGCCTCTGTCAGGGTTCGATATGACGCTGATAGTACATGCCATGTTTAATTAAAAAAAAACTTACAGATGTTATTGCGAAGGGTATAGAAGTACCCTGCGGCTACACAAATAAGCCGTACAATGCAGCATATAATGTTAAATCTATGTCGCGCAGACACAACGGGGTGTCGACATCTGCCCAGCGTTTACGACACGTGTATAAAATCACAATAGGAAGTACGATGCAGGTGTTTGAGAGTACAAGGCTATCTTACAGATTTTACAGTCCCATTTAAGCTGTCACGGAAACTTTTCTTGAACACCTATCTCAGATCGTAAGCGCATGCCTCTAAAGAACAGCAGTTCGGCGTTTCGAAGTGGTGCGCCTTTTACAGCTGTCATACGAGAGAGCTTTAGGGGCGAAGCTTCTTAAGGCGTGGGTCTGTCCATCCCTTGTATGTATGTAGTAGTACGTAGCCACCGGTGGCACATACCCGCTCAGGAGCGGGTATGTGCCTCAGGTGATGTGAGATAGGAGATAGCGGTCCTTGGAGTGTTCACTAGAAGGACGCACGGATGGAGGGACAGACAGACTATAGCAGACAGACGGACGGATGGATAGACGTGCGGACGTACGGACATATGGATGCACGAACAGACAGACAGACAGATGGATTGACGGAGGCATGGATGGGCACACGGATGGTCGCGCGGACAGACGGAAGCACGGACGGGTTGACGGACGACTTGTAGTTGATGATGCTTGTAGTTGATAAATTTAAAACTAGATTGCAGTACTTGTAGTTGATGATGAAAGACGCGGGATGTTATAATATGAATGATGTCACACATGGCGCGTGTCATTGTTTGAAGGCAATTTCGGCGATGTACGCTAGTGGAAGCGTTGTAATAAAATTCGCTCGCTGTTGGCGCGCGCTCGGAGTCGTTGGATGATTGAAGAGGAAGAAGGCACCTAATTTTTGCAGCCCGGTAAGGAGCACGAATTAAATACGAAAGATTCACAGTTTGCCGATGATTCTCTCTGGAGCTTCGCGCACTCATCATCATTCACCCTGTGTATATGCTGTGATTTTTTTTCAGCGCGCAAAACACTAATATTGTATTCTCGTTAAATAGCGGCAACGCAGTGAGATGCGCTGACCATGCGGTGCTGGCCGAAGGATAAAACGGCCGCATTTTCTGGGCTCAAAGAAAGAGAGAGAGAGAAATCAATAAATAAAAGGAAGAGACAAGGTTAAGACACTGCTGCGGCTCAGCCGAGGCCTCTCCTTGTGGAGACACTAACGGACGATTGCACGATGGCGCCCGATAAAACATGGCCAACGTAATGTTTAACTGCAGTGTTGTCAGACCACTAAGCATTTGAGTATCCAATTTTCATACGTTTGAATGCTAATAAAGGAACGGTGGACAAAAAAAAAAACATGCATCATGGGCACACTGCAGGCCAACTTCCGCCAAATGAGACCGTACGTTTTTTTAATACTTGCATATTATTTACCCAACTATTTTCTTACGTTGGCTGAATAATATTTTATCCTAAACAACATGAAGCCCTTTGGATAACATCGACCTAACGTTCCTCTTATAGATACGTCCCCGGAATTCAATCTCATCAGAATGACTTAACCTAGACATGTTTTCTTCGTAGCGCTGTGCTTTCAGTGTTCTTCGACTGTGGTTTTCACGCACGCACGCACGCTCATACATACATACATACATACATACATACATACATACATACATACATACATACATACATACATACATACATACATACATACATACATACATACATACATACATACATACATACATACATACATACATACATACATACATACATACATACATACATACATACATGCTAAGTACCCAAACTTCAGCTCCTCCTCTTCTAGAGCATCATCATCGGATTGTCGCCAACAATGTAGGGCCATTTAGTATAACAGTGTCCACCTGTTGCTAAGTTAGTCAGTGCGATGTAACATCAGCCAACTAAATATTCTTTGAGCAGAACTTTGATTTAGGCGAGTTGGAACATTGTTAGCTGGAGAAAGAGCACAAATAAATACGAGGACATAGAAACACAGTACACATGTGCATCGTCGCTGTCTTCAAGAACAATAGAAACCACAGCTCCAGCAGCTGCACAGAAACACTCCGACTGGAAGACTGACAGCCGAGCTGAACGCCGTATTGCTCTCTCTCTCTCTTTATATATATATATATATATATATATATATATATATATATATATATATATATATATATATATATATATATATATATATATATATATAAAGTGTATGCTTAAGGGATCGTTTTTCCATGTTTTGACACAATAATAATTATATATAACAGACAATAATGCCAAGGAAAGTATAGGGGAAGTTATTAGACCGAATAGTAATGTAAGTGTAAAGAAAGAAAAGTGCGTGAACAGATAACTGGCCACGGGCAAAAACTGAGCCTACGACCTTCGAATAACGCATTCGATGTTCTACCACTGAGCTATCCCGGCGGCTATCCCCCAAACCACTTTATTTGGTTTATATGTGAATTTAAACGTGAGAGTGTCAGTCAGCGCCACCTGTAGGTATTGCGGCGAGTGTGCCACACTCTTTTTATAAGCCTGTATGGCGTCGCGTAGCACGTGAACTTATTACGAGCTGGCAGCTGACCATAAGTCCCTCGTATGCAACTTAACGGCACCATGTCTGCCAGTACGAGACCCTCGTTAATGAATAATGGAAAGAAGTATAGTTAAGGGCTTGTTTTTCTTTGTTTTGACACAATGTTAATGAAATCTAACAGACAATAATGCCAAGGAGAGAGAGAAAGAGAGAGAAAGATAAATAGAGATGAAAGGCAGGGAGGTTAACCAAGCTTGGCTCGGTTGGCTACCCTACACTTGGGGTGGGGGAAAAGGAGAATAATAGAACGGAAAGAGATAGAAAAGAAGAGGAGTAAGAAAGAGAAGCATGAATAAGCTCGAGACTACACAGCACGGTCTCGCACAGTTCTTTCACAAGCGGTCGTGAAGTCTGGTGGTCCTTAAAAAGTACAAGAGGGCTTTCGTGGCTTTGCGCGTATGGGAAGCCGTCGGCCAAGATCCCAGGATCTTCTCTTCTGTAAGCGGCCGTGAATCCAGCTGACAGAGCTTGGCTTCAATAATACGTTGTTCGGTCTGGTATGCTGGGCAATGGCATAGAATGTGCTCAAGCGTTTCCTCGCAGGCGCAGATGTTGCATGCCGAAGTGCTCGCCAGTCCAAGGAGACGAGAGTACGAATTCGTAAATGCCACGCCACACCTCATGCGACACAGTAAAGTTTCAGCGCATCGTGGGAGCCCAGATGGCAAATGAAGTTGCAAGATTGGGTCGATCGAATACAGGTGCGTGTTGGAGAAACCCTGCGTATTCCATTGTAGGAGAGATATACGGCGAGCAAGGGATTGTAGTAGCCTTGCAGCGTCCGTTCTCAAGAGTGGTATGGGCGTGCGCTGGTCATGGTCATGAGCCGATCGAGCAGTTTCATCCGTGCGGTCAATGCCGCCGATTCCGCAATGACTCGGCAACCACTGAAATACAATATCGTGACCTTTCTTGAGTGCTTCGTGGTAGTCGTGCCTTATCTGATATACTGATTGTTCGTGTAACCCGTGCTGCATAACAAACCATAGTGACTGTAAGGCTGACCTGGAGTCGCAAAAGATGGCCCATTGGTTAGGTTGCTGCCGAAGAATGTACTTTACATAATGCCAAGGAATGTATAGGGGAGGTTATTAGACCGAATTGTAAGGTAAATGTCAAGAAAGAAAAGTAGCTGAAAGGACAATTTGCCGTGGGCAGGAACCGAACCTGCGACCTTCGAATAACGAGTCCGATGCTCTACCACTGGGCTACCACGGCGGCTATCTCCCTAGCCACTTTATTGGGTATATATGTGAATTTAAACGTGGAAGTGTCAGTTAGACGCATAAATGGTGTACCACACTATATATATATATATATATATATATATATATATATATATATATATATATATATATATATAAAGTGGGCGTGTGTGTGTGTGCTTTTTTTTTCTAAAAAAATGTCAGTTTTCAGTTGCGAGTAGGCGCTTGTCCAGTGTGTTGGCTCCTTTTTGTTCTACGTCGTTTCGCACAGCTTAGACAATGCAGTGTACTAAGGGGTACAGCTTTCTCAAGTCAATGCGAGAAGAGAATAAACACCAAATGCTGCGCGGTATTATGCCCCAGAGTCTCAAGCACCAAAAAAAGCAGTGAGAGTCATGAAATAGGTTATCTCATTCCGTCTTTTATTATATTCTCGGAAGCCACGCTGAGGAAGCGTGTCATTGCAATTGCGTATATTAAAGTGTATGTGCATGCTCGCATTGGAACTTGCATGCATACGAACAAACAAGCTGTAGAGCTTAGTGGCGTCGAAAGCTCCGTCTTCCAGTTGAATTCAACTTCTGGAAACGTGTATGCACACAAATATGCGCTCCAGGAAGAAAAGTAATAAGCAAACGGGATCCAAAAAAGACAAGGTCCTTGAATAATGAGAATAAACGAAGCCTTGTTGAACAGAGCCACCCACCCACCTCAACATGCGCGTGATATGCAATATGCGAGGAATTGTGGGATATCCTAGTAGTGCTGTCAAAAGAAATTTAATTGCCATTGTAAACAGAGTGGTGATAAATGCATTCAGGCACCCAGTGTGATTCTAATGAGACAGGAGCCGAACCGGAAAAAAAGACAGCTAAAAAAAGACAAAAGAAAATGCTCGTATAGAGAAGGGGATTGGTCTTTTACTTTGTTTTCTGTGGACGCGTGGAATACAGTGTTTTTGTACGAAATGTATAATCAGTAATATTGCGCCCTCTGCTACGAGGAGACGGCAGTGGCGTTTGCGAAATCAATTAAATTAATTAGCGCTCCGATCTCAGCAACACTTCGCAATCCCCATAAAAAGAATCTGAAAGTGAGAAGGTGGGTGGCTTGTAGTAACTCAGAAACTTTACAGGGCATCTCGAAATCGCGCAGCCTGATTATAGCCGCATGTGTCCTCTCAAATATTCATCTCTCTTAAGTCTCAGGAAAACTTGCACCAAGAATCGTATTGCCGTAACGCAATAGAGGCAGAAGTTGGCTGATCAAACAGTCGTCGCTCAAGCGTAGCTCCTAAATTGACTCGAAAAGCTTACCAAAAGTAAAACCATAAACAATGAAACATCAGTACATTCGCAACGCTGATTCCAATTTTTTTCAGGGGAGGGGGCAAGCTGTAACTTTGACGTGTCTTTGCTGCACTATTCTTGGTTATTCGCTTAAGACCTCAAGTGTGGGTGTTTACTTTGGGGTAGACTGCGTTATTGGATGATGCGAGGGAAGCATAACGCCTATTCGCTACTGTGAACGTTTGACTTTGTAGCTCTCATTTTCAGAGGACTTTGCCCTTAAAGTGATTTATTTTATTTATTTATTTTCAAATACTGCAGCCCGATGCAGGGCTAATGCAGGAGTGGGTACATACAGTAGGAAAGAATATGAGTAACATCAAAACAAGTTCTTCATCAGAAAAAAATCACAACAATTATCGCAACATTATAAGCACATGCAACCGGGTACACAAATGCCTCCCGAAAGTATTATAATCATCATCATCATCATCATCATCATCAGCCTGACTACGTGCACTGCAGGACAAAGGCCTCTCCCATGTTCCGCCAGTTAACCCGGTCCTGTGCTTGCTGCGTCGTCCTTAATTTAAGCTGAACCCTCTTTGTAAGTCTCCAGGTTTCTGCTCCGTAGCTAAGTACCGGCAAGATACAGCTGTTATATACTTTCCTCTTGAGGGATAGTGGCAATCTACCTGTCATAATTTGAGAGTGCTTGCCGAATGTTTTCACCCCATTCTTATTCTTCTAGTTGCTTCAATCTCGTGGTTCGGCTCTGCGGTTATTACCTGCCCTAAGTAGACATAGTCTTTTACAACTTCAAGTGCACTATTACCTATCTCGAAGCGCTGCTCCTTTCCGAGGTTGTTGTACATTACTTTCGTTTTCTGCAGATTAATTTTAAGACCCACCTTTCTGCTCTCCTTGTCTAACTCCGTAATCATGAGTTGTAATTCGTCTCCCGAGTTACTCAGCAATGCAATGTCATCAGCGAAGCGCTGGTTACCAAGGTGTTCTCCATTAACTCTTATCCCTAACTGTTCCCATTCTAGGCTTCTGAAAATCTCCTGTAAGCACGCGGTAAATAGCGTTGGGGAGATTGTGTCCCCCTGCCTTACACCCTTCTTGATTGGTATTCTGTTGCTTTTCTTATGAAGCATTATGGTAGCAGTTGATCCCCTGTAGATATCTTGCAGAATGTTTATATATACTTCATCTACGCCCTGATTCCACAGTGTCTGCATGACGGTTGATATTTCTACTGAATCAAACGCCTTCTCGTAATCTATGAAGGCTATGTATAGTGGTTGGTTATACCCTGAGCATTTCTCTATTACCTGATTGATAGTATGAATGTGGTCAATTGTTGAGTTTGAGAGTATTATAGTTGATCAGTATGTTTTGCTCCTTTTTGATATTTTATACCGCTTTGCAGCACGTGCTGTGAGCGACTGCTTACAAACATTTTGGTTCACCCCAAGTTCAACGTTGCTTATTTGCAGGAAAAAAAATACAGGATTCCCTTCAGAAGACAAAGAGTAAAGGCTAGAAGCCTACGGGGATTTCACCTTCTTTTTAATATAGTCTGCATCAGTGTTATATACATCTATACATCTGTCACACACACCTTGTAGGGGATTCGTGGCTGTGGCTATCCCGCGAACCCCTCAGGGAAAAGACGCAGACCGACGGAAACCATGTTTTACAGATCGGAACCCGAGCCGCAACGGCCCACTGCCAATGGCCACCACGTGCCACGAGTACACTGGCGATTCTCGTTTAACTCTTCTGCTTCAAATCGACACGCTTGCGGCCCCCGGCTTCCATAACCTATACACTTTGGTTACATATTTTGCGCAAATTTTACACATTTGTTAAATACACGAAACTTGCATAATTTTGCGCATTACCCCTATAAGGACCAATTGCAAAGCTCGAAGACATGTTGGAATAAATTAGTGCCCCCCCCCCCCTTTTAATGACGGGAATCTGAACGCACAGCGTCAGATGTATCCGACAAAAAAGTGTTCAGAAAAGATGTTCACCGATTTCGAGTACTTCGTACTCAACTATGGGAGTGCACTGAGCCTTCCTGCTGAAAGCGAAAACCCGCCATCTTCTCCGGTAGTTGCTGGATGGCTTCTTAATTTGTCCACCAGCAAGTACGATTCTACTGCTGCAATTTCTTTCAAATTACGTCGTTATTTTTGTTACTGCATTTAAAGAAAACAAATAACGTCCCCCATGCTATCCCTGGCTTAATAGTTCATTGTATTCACTTTATTTTGTGTAAAAATTAGACCATAAAAAATATCTACGTATTTTTGTTCAGCCTCGAAAGAAGTGTTTATGTCGGTTATTTCGACAACTCTCTGCGAAACCCGCGTGAACACCACATGGAGTGTATTTGCCCGAAAACATGGAGTGTATTTGCCCGATTTTCGATACGTAGCTATCGCTTTTTTTATTGTGATGGCGAATGTGTAGAGTCTCGATGGGTTTATGGGTCGCCGTCATTATCCACATTGCTGTTTAACGTTGTATTTAGGCACATTTGTGTGTCTTTGTGTTTTCTTTCCTTTATGTCCCTCCTGCTAGTAATCATCTATTGTCATAGAGACAGTAAATTAGTGAACGTGAGGTAAATATGTCTTTTCTATTCGTAGGTGTGTTTTCGCGTATGCATGCTGCTTTTCGCCTTGTGTTTCTGTCCCCGCTACTATAAATTCGCTTTTTCGCATAGAAACTGATAGAGTGCGGGGGTGCAAAAAGGGTGTTCCTGTATCTACGTTCACTTGCGTGCGAAACCAGTATTTTGAAGGGCATGTGCACACGTTATTGGTAAAGCTGCCGCTGTACCGGTATTTCTCGAACCAATGGAAATTCCTCGTGCGTTTCCCGGCAAGCGAATAACATGGCCGCGTAGTATAAAGAGAAAAAAAAAAGGCAGATTATCGACGGAGTGAATGATGGATAGTGGGGCGGAGCATCCGTCCGTCCATTCGTTCTTGCTTCCATCCATCCATGCGTGCGTCTGTGTGGCCGTCCGTGCGTCCATCCGCCCGTCCGTGCGTGCGTCTATTCGTGCGTCCCTGCTTTCGTCCATGCATCCGTTCCTGCGTTCGTCCATGCGTCCATCTGTCTGTGCAGCCATCCGTGCGTCCGTCCATGCACCTGTCTGTGTGTCCGTTCGTCCACCTATTCAACACTCCAAGTACCACTACGTCGCATATTTTCATCATATATTCCTCGTAGAGAAGCACTGCCATCCAGCGGACATTCCAAGGACTGAACGAGAGGAGGCACACGCACACTTTCTTATGGCTTGCGCTTCGTGGCTACTTGCCACCTTTAACCACGTCAAGTCCATGGTATATATTAGTTCACTGTATTCATGACGCTGCGGCCCAATGCTCGCTAAACATTTCTAAAACCTAGGAGGTTACGCCCAGTGAGTATAACGTAGCAACCCTTTTTTTGTCGTCTGAGCGTTGTTGAACAATAAAAAATTCGCAGTATGCGCGTTAACTAAAAGCCGAATTCTCCTGTCGCTCATTCCCCCTTAGCAGCCAATGGCATGTACATTGAGCACTATCTTTTATTGTTCGACAACGCACAGAAGAAATCTGTCACCGGCACCCTCTTGGAGGTCAAAATGTAATACTGGTTACACACTACGACTACTACTACAGCTACGAGAGACAAACAAGTGCTGCTATAAGGA